GGGCCGAAGCCGGAGCTGAAGCCGGGGCCCGAGCTGAAGCCGGGGCCAGAGCTGAAGCCTGGACCGGAGCTGAAACCAGGACCGGAGCTGAAGCCGGGGCCCGAGCTGAAGCCGGGACTGGAGCTGTATCCCGGGCCGGAGCTGAAGCTTGGGCCGGGGTCGAAGCTCGTGGATACAGCCGCGCCCAGTCCGCCGTTGCCGCTGGGGCCGATGTAGTCGTCGCGGTTGTACACGCTGGAGGGGTAGCCGCCGCTGAAGCTGCCGCGCCCGCTGTCGCCATAGTAGTCAGTGTCGTAGTTACCGCCGGAGCTGCTCCAGCCGCTACCACTGCTGTAGGAGCCTCCGTTGTAGCCTCCTCCGATGTAGCCGCCGCCGTAGCCGCCTCCAAGCCCGACACTGGAGCTCCCGAGATTGGTGAACCCGTTGCCGTAGCCGCCTCCGTTAAAACCGCCTCCGTTGTACCAGCTGTCGTAGCCCCCGGCAAAGCCGTTGTTAGAGTTGCCGACGCTGGAGAAACCGCCGTTGTAGCCATTGTAGCCGTTGTTGTCGTAACGTCTGTCGTAGAAGGCTCCTCCTCCGTAGCCACCGCCAAAGTCCGCATCCACCTTCCTCCAAATGATGTCCTGCGGAAGACAACGCATGCCGCGGTGTCTCGACCGTGACAAATAAGGGACAGTATATTTAGGACAGGTATATTTTGACTAACTAAATGTAGTCAAAGATAAATGCATAAAGCATCAACAATTAACTCTCCAACATAAAGATCAGTTCCTAAATCTGGTTGTCGCAGCGATCAACCATCTTTTGCATCCCTCTCTGTGGTGTAAATCATGACACCGTTGAAGGTAACATCGCCTAATGTGTCACCTGGGGTTTAATGATACTTGTTAATGTCCGAAGCTTTGATCAACTTGAGTGACCAGCTTTGACGATTATAACTAGGCCAGCCGGGGTCTATCCCAGCCAAGCCGACCAGCATGTTCGGAGACTCAAACAGCAGAGAGCGCTGGACAGCGTCCCTACGCTTAAGTGTTCCGCAGCCCCTGGGATTCTCCTGCCGGGCCTGACTCGTCCGCTGCACATCAGCCCAGCGCCTGCCGGCGAGTCGCAGACGCCGGCGCCTCTCACCGTGACCACCTGGCCAGGGCCGAGGCGACTGTCGCGACCGAAGTCGCAGCTGAGCTGAGCGCCTCCGGCCATCCAGGGCGTGACCCGCCCCTGACCCACGCTCCGTGCAGTGTCCATGTAGCCGCCCGTGCCGTACATGCTGTTCTGCAGACGCAGACAGGGGGCAGCGTGTCAGGTCGTAGCGGACCGAGGGGGCCGATTGTAACGTTCGACGGCGGGTTGATGGGACCGATCTGTCGGCGTGCGCCGTGGTGCAACGTATCGGCTTTGTTAGATCCGGCAACAGCCGCGCGCTAGGGTTCAACAACACGACGCAACAACAACAACAACACAGCGGCTTCAGTGACTTTTTTGAAGAGCGAATAGTGAGTTTGGAGCGGATGTTACCGATTTTATAGCAGAAATAAACATTAATGCAAACACTCTAGTTAAATTTCTGCACGCGCACAGACACTATTTAGCTCACATATCGATGGGTGGAGAACGCGGTGAGGCACGCATGGTAGTGTCCACACCGGCTTTTGCCAAATCTGGACTAGTTATGGCACTTATGTATTGAAAGACGCTCATTCCACCACATTCGTCACACAAATTTTTGAGCTGTTCACCGCCAGGGTTCATGGCAGCTCAACACATGCACCTTATACAGGTGTGTACCACGCGTGCCCACCCATGGAGGGTGCGGCGGCACCGGCCACGGTACTTGCCCACGTGCTGCCGGAGCCCCAGCTGTCGTCGTCGCAGTGGTAGATGTAGCCGAGCGAGTCGCGGCAATACCGGTCGCGGCCCGCGCCGCCCGTCAGGTGACCTAGGGTCAGGGTCAGCAGCGCGGCCGGCAGGAGCGCGTGGTGCATCATGGCCGCGCCCCGCGACCGCCGGCGGCTCCTTCGTCTGCACGAGAACTCCCAGCAGACAGCACAACCCCACCAAGCGGCCTGCCTTCGTCAAACTGGCCGAAGCGCTGTGAGACTGATAATGGCCGGTAATGAGATTGGGCCGCTTTAATAAACGTCGGCGGCGGCGGCGGCGGCAGCGGCGAAGGTCGCCAGGTCAGGGGGAGGAGCCTCTGGGGCGGTGTCAGGAGGAGGTGTCGCCCCGCTCGAGCGCCGCCGAGACAGCGGAGAGAGCGGATGGGGTGGTGCGGGCGTAATTAGCCCGTACGGTGTGGACGGTGCTGGTTTGAGCCAGATTGGCTGGTGACAGGGACGGGCAGTGCCGCCCTCCAGTCCACCCAGGCGGTAGAAGCTGGTCTCTTCTTTCCTTGTGGGAAAACTGGTGAAAGATAAAGGAAGGTGTTACCGACACCGATGACCGATCAGGGCCGCCGAAACTATGATCAAGCTGGGGAAGACGAACTCCAAAATTCCTGAATGGGTTTTTTAGATTAAATAGTGGGCCTTCCACAAGCAAGGATGGGTCTTATACAGCTACGAATGGGCCCTACACAGGCCATAGTTCATCCCCTGCAGGTCAAAATGAGCCCTCTACGTGCCGGAATGGGCCCTCCACAGCCAATAATGGCTCCTCCACAGGTCAGAATAAGCGCTCTACAAGCGTGAATGGGCTCCTGTGCATTCCAAAATGGACCCTTCACAGTCTTCTGCAGGTCAGAATGAGCCGCCAGCGGGCCGGAATTGGTCCTCTGCAGGCCAAAATTGACCGGCTTCTCAGTTAACATTACATCCTCTGCGGGCTATAATGGGCCCTCTGTATGTTATACCGGGACCTCTATAGGCTAGAATGGGCCCTCCACAGGCCATAGTTTTCTCTTCAAAGTTAAAAATGGGCCACCTAGAGATTATAATGGGCCCCTTCAGTCTGGAATAGGCCCTCCGCAGTCAATAATGGGTCTTCTTCAGGTCAGAATGGACACCCTGCATATTCAAAATTGCCCTCTTTTGGTCAGAATGGATCAAAAGAATGAGCTAAGATAGGGCCCAAAATGGACTCTCGACAAATCAGACTTCACTTTTGCAGGCTTACGTTATCTCTTCACCGTTCAGAATAGGTCCTTAAGGGGAGTATTTCATGTCTATATAGGGTTTTGAACCGAAACAGCCGTCTTGAAGACCATTTGGTGCAGTTCTCAGCCCTGCCTTTCTTAATACCTCAACCGCTCTAGTTTCGGAGCTACCCCCCCCCCCCCCCGAAGATATGCACACTATTTTGGGGAGACTATTTCAAGGCCGTCCTGATCCTCATGATGTCATAATAATGACATTAAAATCTTGTTATTCCATCAGCCAAGCGGCGATCACGGCCGATACAAATATAGTGGTCGAGTCGTTCATATCTGGCGTTCGTGGGCACGATTTCCAGATATCACGGTTGTCAATTAACTCAGTCAATGTTGTTCAAGGTACGATGATGTAATCAATAACACATTGAGGAGCACATTTGCTAAGCAGAGAAATTTTGTCGTCTAGAGCAGTCTTTCCCACTTAAAAGTACACCAATATTTATAACCGAGCTTATTTCATCACACGTGATACTTACTTTGGTATCTTCCATTGCGGAACATTCCCTTTAACATGCCAGAATGAACCCTCCACAGGTCGTCCTGGTTGGGGGTGCCGCCCCCTCCCCAGCTTTCAAATGGGGGAGGACGAGATGCCTCCACTGCCTCCCGGCTCCGGCTTCGTTATGTTCAATGCATTCTCTTACGTTGTTGATCTTTGTGATTCATTTTCTGCCCTTGTCATGCTTTACAAAGTGGCTTTTCCCGTCGCTGTCCCCTGTCATTCTACTCTTGGCATGCTCATTTTCTATCCCTATCATGCTCGCATGCTCGCTCGCATGCATGCCCTGTCATGCTCGCAGTGCAGTCCGCACCCTCGTGGACGAACAATTATACGGCAAACAGAACTCAGCGCGAAGCCGAGCTTGCCTTACTTGATCGTCACGTGTTTGTCTTTGTCATAGCCTTACTATGCTTTAACAAGCAGGCCAGCGCGACAGGCAGTAAATAGGCATCATACCAAGGCGCCCGCGTTCCTGTCGTCTTTTGGCCTCTCACATTACGTTCCTGTCGTCTATTGACCTCTCGCATTACGCAGAAAACACATCCTCACAGCGGCGAAAGCATGCATGTTTTAGCCGGTCTGCGGCGCTGACCCCGGTGCCAAAAAACCGCTCGGCCGCCAGCGGAACGGTCGCACGTCCGCGGCAGGTGGCGGCGTCGGCGGTGGACGCCGCGACGACGGCGACGCCTCCCGCCGCGCCGGTCGGCCACGCAGAGCACAAAGGCCGCGCCGCGGTACAAAGCCGGCGCCGCGTGTCGCGTGACGCTGGTCCGGCGGTGGCGGCGGCCGGCGCGACGCCGCTGCCAGGATGGGTCCACCGCTTCCGCCCTCCATTGTGGGGGGCGAGGCGGCTGGAATGCCAGCGGCCGTGGCGTCGCCGCCGCACGCCACGTGCGCGGCGCCACGTGCACAGCCTTCACGTGCGCGGCGCCATGCGTGGATTCTTTTGCCGACGGATTACGCGCGCCATGTGAGGTCAGCACGTTCTCATGGTCTTGTGAGCTGAGTTATTTGTGGAGAATCCAGGGCAGAATGACAGGAATGCGTGTGTTGATTTGAAGACTGATTTGAGGTTGATCGGATTGCAGCACGTGTCTCAAATGCTTTTGGAAAGTTTGGTGATGTGTCCAGGCATTATATGTGTATGCGTGAAATACTTATTGAAATTTCTAGTGTATATGTATCACGTATATCCGAGATATTTGTCTGTGCGAAATGCCTATAGCTCCTATAAAATGTCTATTCTCAAACTTCTCAACACTAATGGCAAATCCAAGGATTGAGGAAAATCTGAATGCAAATCTCTCATACCAGCTGAAAAGTAAATATACCATGACGCGCGAGGAAAACCAGCGCTGCGCAATCAGTTCTGGCCTGAGCACGTACGTATGCGCGCGCACCCCTGGCTAGAAGATCGCTTTTGCACCGCCAATGTCTTCCAACCAGCTGCAAGCACCTGGGAACGAACTGGGAGCTTTCCTCCCGCCATTTTTTTCTTTCCTCCCGCCATTTTTTTGAAGTCACGGCCCTGGTTAAGACCAGCGGGGGCCAGTGCCCACATGTAACCAACGGGCACCCGGCGGGCAACTGACTCGTCAAACCAGGGACGAACGGACCCGGATCGTGAACAGCAGCATCACTATCGCTGCCCGATCTGCGTGACGCATAGCGGCGGCATTGTTCTCTGCCGCCACCGGCCGCACACTAGGTGCGCGCCCATTTGGCCGAACGGGTGGCGCACGGCGCTGGTATTGTACGCGCCAGTGCGTAAGCGCGCTGATCAGTTTTTGCGCAGGGTGTGTGCCATCGGCCTCGTTCCCACGGCCAGCGCGGTTCTCGTTTCGCGTGTGACGGCAGCGCGCGTGGCCGGCAGCCCGTGCGCGCCGCCGCAAACACGGCCGCCAGCGAATATCGGACTTGTCGGGTGTGAAAAGGCGCTCAGCATGCTGGAGCGGATTTAAGGGCGTGTTTAGCTGGCGCGTGACACATTTAAGCGGTAATGCTTTCGTGCTTTCAGTTTCGATACCTTTTGGGCCCTGTATTTTATTGAGCAGAAACACCTGCGCACAAGAGAAGCAGTCGGATGCCCCTCAGGGCAGACAATACCAGGCTTTTCGTTTAAAAGTGCGTGTCAAATAAGACCGTACCATCACGGCGGCACTCGTGCTCGCTAGGCGCGCGCCCGGCGTCCGTGGCGACATCTGCGCAGAACTCTCGAGGTCACGCCGGTACACAGCCAGTCTTCATCCCGCACTCTGCCCCCACTCTACGTCAGCCAGCGTGCCGACACGAAATAAGTGTCAACCCGGACTGCGGCGAGCTTTCTCTGGACGTCCGACTGAGAAGTGCCCTGTGCCGGCTGCCGATTGTCCGAGAACCAGCGTCACCTCGGCTGGGGCGACACCATTCTCATCCGGTGCCGCACCACGCCTCCACCCAAAGCCGTCCCACTAGTGAGAATAGTTTATTTCCGATTAATGATATACCTGGTACACAATAGACTTTACAAAGGCGGGAACAAAATAGATCATTCGCTATGCTCTAACCGTCCCCTCCCGAAAAATAGCGGTCCGCACACGCCTTCGCAACAGCACAAATAAACAGCGTCACCGGACGACAGCGCGCCACGGCGGCCGCGGGGGCACCTCACCCACGGCGCGGTCCCACAACCATTCCATGCCAGCGCACGGCTAAATATAAAAGCTCCCCTATGTACAGTCAGTCGGCCGATAACAAGATTGGAATGCGGGCGCGCGTGGCGGCCGCCGCCGAGCCGGGCCACGTGACCCGCCCGCCGGCGGTCCGCGACGCCGTGAGTCTCGGCCGGACGGCGGCCCGGGCCGCCCGCCGCGCCCGCCCCACCGCACGCGCACACACAGAGATAGAGAGAGGAGAACGGGCGGCGGGTCACACCCGGCCCTCCCGAAGCACACTCGGCCCGCGGCAGATCTGTCGCGGCGTCGCTCAGCCCCGGGCGCGCGCGCGCGCGCACCACGCCCGGCGACGTGCCGTGCGGCGACGCCCGCCGCCTGGCACGGACGGCGTCCTCGCCCCGCGGCGCCGCCTCGGACGCCCGTGACGTCATCGGACTCGGGTGTGTGACGTCACACGGCCCAGTTAGGAGGCGACGATGGCGCGCAGTTCGTCCACTACGTTGGAGAGCAGCTGTTGGTTGGTGCCCTTGCCGTCGATGCCGAGCCGGCCGGCCGCCTGTACAGACAGGATCAGGTCACACCAGGTCAGGTCAGGTCAGGTCAGGTCAGGTCAGGTCAGGTCACGTCACGTCAGGTCACGTCAGGTCAGCACGGACGGCTCACACCGAGGAGCAGCCGGTAACGTGATCAACATGGATCCGTGACAGGCATTTGCAGCGGCTGTGACGCAACCAGACCGCATTCAACCTTTTCATCCACTGCATGAGACTACCGTTCTATTCCGCGCAAAGCAACGGTCTCCCACCCACCCGACCACAACTATCGGCTCTCCCATCAGCGGTCGTCCCGCCCGCCGCCGCCGCCCCTGGCCCAGTTTTCACCGCATCCCTGTTCTCCCGGCCCGGCCGCAGCGAACCCAGTCCGGGCAGTGCGCGGTTCCGCGGGGCACCGTCGGCGACGCACGCACAGCTGAGGTGCGCCCGCGGCCCTGCGCTGGCTCCCGAGACCCCGGCCCTACCCTTGCTACGCTGGACCAGCACCGAGTGCACCGGCTCCGCACAGAGCGGCGGGGCGCCATGGACGCACCGTCCGGCCGAGGGCGGACTTTACGTCGGCCGGCGGCAGCGTAAAGCCCAGCAGGCGGCAGGGAAGTCGCCGGCGCCACGTGCCGGTCGGCGACGCCGGCGCGCGAGCCGCACGTGCGGCACGGGTCACCACTCCCCGCCTCCCGACAGGGCGCGTGCCGTCCCGCGGACGGTTGCAGCACGAGTGAGAACGGCCGATGGGTGGCGACGGGAAGACCGAGCGCCGCAACAACGTGAAAAGGGACGGCGGTCCGCACTACCGCCGGCGAACAAGCACCGCACCTCACGCCGGCTGGCGCAGCGAGGGAAGGTCCGCGCGGCACAGACAACCAAACACCACACCAAGGCCGAACACCACACAGAGCCGGCAGGGAGCCCCCCCCCCCCCCACCCCCACCGCGGCCGAACACCACACAGGGCCGGCAGCGAGCCCCCACACCGCGGCCGACGCACTGACCAGCTGCTTGACGAGCACGCAGACGTGGTCGCCGCAGATGGAGCGGCTGTAGAGGCTGGCCGTCGTGTCGATCTGCTCGACGACTGTGTGTCGGCCCCAGAAGGCCACCCGCCGCAGCACCTGGCGGGCGAGACGCGGCGCGGCTGTCAACAGTCAGCCGGGGACGGGAGCGGCGCGGCGGGGCGCGGCGCGGCGCGGTGCTGCGGCGCACCACGCCCGGCAGGGGCACGCACAGACAGACGCACAGTCAAGGCAATGGCTGGCGGTGTAGCAGTAACACGTGAAACTAGCGCCGGCGCCGACTGACGCGCGGGATGGTGGCGCGACTGAATGTCGGCCCGCCAGTCATGCAACAAAACATTATGGAAACGGAGTTCCGCCCCGCTTCATCTGGCATTGGGCTGGCGATAAGGTTAAATCGTCGTCGACCTTCTTTCAGTCATACCTGAATTGTGCTTTGCGAAGTTCCTGATGTGGTCGAAGGCGTTACCTCTTACTCACAGGTCCCTGAGCAGTCACTAGTTGACCCCGACCTGTCACGCACCTCCCTAGAGTTGTCTCCATCGCACGTGATTCCTGATCGACCTCTGCTGTTCGCTGTCATATCTCCACCCCTGACCTGTCCCCTTCTCCCCGCCCATAGCCTTTCCTGCTCTAGCACCTGCTCCCTGTGACTCGTCTCCGCCCCTGCCTGACCTGGTTGAAGTCGTCGGTGACCTCGGAGACGAGGCAGGTGGCGCGGGCCGTCAGCCGGTCGCCGGCCAGTAGGTCTGAGAACAGCTGCTTGTCGTCCAGCTGACCCACCAGCAGGGCGGTGCAGGGAAGCCGCAGCTTGAACGACAGCGTGTCGCCGCCCGACTGACGAGGCGGTAGGCAGCGGTCACGGGTGAGGTCAGGGTCAGGTCAGGGTCAGGGTCAGGGTCAGGGTCAGGGTCAGGGTCAGGGTCAGGGCCAGGGCCAGATCAAGACAGGATCTAGGCAAGGGCCAGGGTCAGTGGAAGAGCCAGGGACAGGGAAAGGGCCAGAAGCAGGGAAGGGCCAGGGTTAGGGTCAGAGCCAGGGGCAGAGGCAGGGCCAGGGGCGCGGGAAGGGGCAGGGGCAGAATCAGGGGCATGAGCAGGGGCAGGAGCACAGACAGAGCCAGAGCCAGAGCCAGAGCCAGGGCCAGAGCCAGAGCCATAGCTAGGGCTAGGGCCAAAGCCAGAGCCAGGACCGGGATCAGGGCCAAGGCCAGGGGCAGGATTAGGTCAAGTCAGGGTCCGGGTTGAGGTCAAGATCTGGGTAGGACTCCGAGGCTGGGTCAGGTTTAAGGTCCCGGTCATGGTTAAGACGAATGCTAGGGCCGAGACCCAGACCGGGCTTGGGTCAGGCCAGGGTCAAGTTGCGGTCAGAAAGAGGCGCCAATTACTAAGAAATAAACCGGGGTCGGATCCCCCCCCCCCCCCCATGGACTGGTAGCAGGGAGCAGCCGGTGGTCGGGGTACATGCCCATTGCATTATGCCTAGATACGGATTATTATCACCCAGTCAGGTGAGCCCCGGGTTGCGGTCAGTCCGGGCCAGTCATGCATTTAGCCGGGGACAGAGTTACGGTCGTATCGGTAGCGGCAGGGGGAGGGGTCACAGACCGCCGGCAGAGCACAAGATTCCCCCCCCCCCCCCAACATATCGGGATTTGCCCGACTCGCGGCACAGTCCGATCCACACAAACAGGTGACCTGTCGATACGGACGCGACCCGGCCGACGAGCCAGCCCTGCAGCCGCTCACGTCGCAGCGTCTCGCCCATCCCCTCCGCCGCCCACGCCTCCCGGCAAGCCCGGCAGCGATACACAGCTGGAGCCTCCCCCTGCCAGTGACCGGGCGCTGACCTCGGTGTGTGACGTCACACTGGCAGCCAGCTTGAGCGGCGCCGTGACCTCGCGCACGCGGAGCGGCAGCAGCAGCTCCCGGCTGGCGCCCGCCTCCAGCGAGAACGGCTCCACCTGGCGGAGACACGGCACGGCGCGCTACTGACAGCCGGTCGACGGACGCACAGCCGCGCCCCATATGGCAGGGTCACGCAGGCCGGCGGCCAGACGACAGCGCAGCAGATCGGGTCAGGGTCGCACGGGAGCACTCTTCGGTCAGTTCATCGAGGGATACACTGCATCAAGGCCATGCCTGCGTGAACATCGACTGCGTGTTTTGCTCCGTTGTCATCTTCACGGCCTTCCTTCCACTCTCAAGTCAGCACACCCCGCATCACCATGGCCGTAGCCGTCACGGTGTAACACGCCCCCAGCTCCCGCCTGGCTGCGCCGGCCTCCGTCCGCGTCGGCAGCAGGCGGCGCGCCGTACCTGCTCCAGCAGCTCGGCGGCGTCGCTGGCGGCCAGCTGCAGCTGTATGTCGGCCAGCGGCTCGGGGCTCTTGTTAGTGACCAGCACGGCCACGGTCACCCGGTCGTCGTCCGTCGGACTCGCCCTCGGCTCGTACAGCTGCCGGGCGGCGGCGGTCACACACGGCAGCCGACCGGGGCGCGGCGATGACCGGGGCGGGGCAGGGCAAGGCAAGGCAGGACAGGTCAGATCAGGGCAGGGCAGGGCAGGGCAGGGCAGGGCAGGGCAGGGCAGGGCAGGGCAGGGCAGGGCAGGGCAGGGCAGGACAGGACAGGTCAGATCAGGGCAGGGCAGGGCAGGGCAGGGCAGGGCAGGGCAGGGCAGGGCAGGGCAGGGCAGGGCAGGGCAGGGCAGGGCGGAGCGGAGCAGGGCGGAGAGAGGCAAGGCTGAGGCGGGCCGGGGCGGACCGAGGCGGGCCGGGGCGGACCGAGGCGGGCCGGGGCGGACCGAGGCGGGCCGGGGCGGACCGAGGCGGGCCGGGGCGGACCGAGGCGGGCCGGGGCGGACCGAGGCGGGCCGGGGCGGACCGAGGCGGGCCGGGGCGGGCCGGGGCGGACCGAGGCGGGCCGGGGCGGGCCGAGACGGGCCGGGGCGGGCAGGGGCGGGGCGTGGCAGGATCGGCAACCACAGGATCAGCTGAGCTGGTGTCTGTAGCGGCCGTGACGGCATCATGTCACCAACGTCACCACTGCGCCTGACACCACCCACTGACCCCAGACATCGCCCCTCCGTCTGCTCACTGCGGTAACCGCCACAGACAGCCGTGAAGTCGGTACGGCACGCGAGGACGCGCTCATCGCTTCGGATAATGAAATAAAGATTTTCTTTCGCCACACCTCAGCTACATCCAGCTAGCAGCATGGGAGGTGTCCTGTCACACAAATCAATATCTCTGCGTCAAAACCCCGCCCTGATAAATCCATGAAGCCCCAGTCATCCAGCGCGGTCACTGGCGGTGGCCACCCGCCAGGGGTGGCCCACTCACCAGCTTCAGTCGGTCGTTCTCGGCCAGCGGCTGCAGACGGGAGTCGGGCAGGTCGGACAGCCCTGGCGCCACCACCTCGTGACTCGGAGTCGATATGCCCACGGCCTCCTCGTAGCCGAGCAGACGGCCAGACTTCTCCTGCCGCCGGGGGACATGGTCACAGCAGGTGCTCGGCTGGGCGTTACGGGCACGGCCTGGGCGCCGGCACAGCTCATACACTGCGCTGACAAGCAAAGCATACTTCAACGTGTGGTGCCCCCACACACAGAGCAACTGAGAAGCCACACCTTTTATGAAAATAACCTGAGGATGAAATAGCGCATCGAAGTACGGAAATTCAACGAGTTTTTGCAAGACATGAGCGTCAAGTGTGTTCACAATAACCTTATCCCATTACCCAACGACACACCCTGCGAACATACATTGGCAGAGCCCAGTGTCTTCAGTTCCCGCCAAGAATGGCTCCAGATGACCTGCCAACACTCCAAGCACGATGCGATCCTACAGCAAACCGAACACTTTGTCCTACGACTTTTACACTTCATGATCCACACATTTCATCCATTTCAAGCCCACCACGGCCCACGCGCTCACCTTCTTACTCTTCTTACTCTTCTTGGACGACTTGTGCTTCTTCTGCTTGGTGGCGCCGTTGGAGACGGGCTCGCCGTTCTCCTTCGGCGGCGGCGCCGGCTCGGCGGTGCCGGACGGCCCCGCGCCGTCGGCCGGGCCAGCGGTGCCCACCGGGTTGGCGGCAGCCGCCGGCGTCGCCGTCGCCGGCATGTCGCTCAGCCAAAACTCAATGTCGTCCTGAGGAGGAAGCCACGTTCGTTACGCCGGCAGCTTTGTTGTTAGGTTTGTCGTGTCGGTTGCGGGATTTGATTGTGGTGCATCCCGCCGCTACAGGTCCCGTTACGATGCGTAACGGGACCTGTTGCGCATCGTAACAGTGAGCCGTTGAGCGCGGCCGATGATATCCAGGACAATAACATAAAAATCACCACGGCGTGGATCAAACATTGGGCTTTTGCTGTACGTTTTAAACAGCCGAGCTAGAACGATACCGAATACTCGAACTTCCGTTTCTTACAGCAAGAGAACGCACGACCGAGTAGACCTTCCGTGTAGGTCTGCGTGCAGCAGGTTCCGTCCCAGCCACGGAGCGGCAACGGAACGGAAACATCGACGAAAGCCCCACAGATGGCGCGGAAACACCCCGACCACGCTCCCACCACATCTGAGGCCCCGCCGCACCCCGAGGGCCTGCCCGCCGCCTCACCTCCGGCTTCCTGCCGTTCTCCTCGGCGGCGGCGGCCGGCGGTGCCGGCTCGGCCCGCTCCTCTTCCGGCGCGCGCTTCTCCTTCTTGGACTTGCGCTTCTTGTCGTCCTTCTTCTTTTTCTTCTTGTGGCGGTCGCGGGCGTCGGTGGTGGCCGGCGCGGCCGCGGCGGGCGGCGCGCGGCCCGGCTGTCGGTGAGCACGCACCGGCAGCACCTCGTCCGGAGCCAGCGGCCTGCCGCCCAGACAGACGCCGCCGCGTCAGGGGCCGCGCTTTTATTCCGTGTTATTGTTGTGAAGTGTATGCAGTGCCGGTCACCGCGTCACCGTTCGGCGGCGCGCCGGCGATCAACGCGGTCGTGTTAGTGACCGGAGGCGAGCGCTTCAGCCAGGTAGTGAACCCGGACGTGCCACGTAGGGGGTTCAGATTCGAGCTGTTCACATGCTACGTCACTCGTCAGAGACTGCGGGCCAGACAGCGCACAGGTGGCACAGCTGACCGCGCGCGGCAGCTCGGCGTCGACTGCAGCCAGTGACGTTGGCCGGGGCTTGATGAGGCGACACCTGCCGTCTCATCATATCGAGACAACAGATGTCACATCTCGCATCACAAAACCTTCCAACAATAATGTGAGCGCCAAATCAGCGTCACGCAGAACACCAATACCGTCAATAGATTTACCTTCTGTGGACTCGCATTACAGCGATCACGACTTCAAGCAGCGCGGGAAGCTTTGCTGACCACCGGCCCTGCTCACGACACACTACAGCATCACAGCCGCCGCGGGCCGCGGTCGACGCCACTCACTCGTCCAGGTTGATGTCGAGCGCGCGGTGCGGATCGTCGGCCGGCCGGGCGTCCTTCTCGTCCTCGGAGGAGCGCGCCCCCTCCGGCATCTCGCCGCCCACGCTCACCTCGTGCACCACCGGCGGCGCCTCGTCCTCCGAGGACGACTTCTGTGCTCCGTCTGCCGACGCGGAGCACAGTCAGACGGCGCGCCGCCGCCGCCGCCCAGCTAAACGGAGGCGTGCTACAGTCTTGGTTATATGTGCACGTGAAACTGAGACACGTGACCAACACCAATGTTAGCGGACCGACAAGAAGGCAGGACATCATGGCACATTGTGTGAGCGACAGCGACGCGTCATGTTCAATTGGCTCCAGCTTGACTGTGTTCGGTTCAACCAGTCAACACGCCCATGAAGCTGGTCCATGAAACCGGCTGGCTACAGCGGCGATACGTACGCTTCTTCTTGGATCGCTTCTTCTTGTTCTTTTTACTGGCTTTATAGGATCTGTTCTGCATTTTCAGATAGTCGTCTGAATTGGCGAACCCTGCGGCAAACCGGCACGCGTCGGTACAGATCCAGCACAACCCACACTTCGTTAGTCGTGTTGTTCGCGAACAGACCCACGCCCCAGTCCTCGAGGCGGTATCAGGGACTATCTCAGGGTGGCAGGCATAACACTTATCGCCACGACCCTCAGTTATTTGGTTGATGTATTAAAATCCAACTGCCGTTATCTGCAAACCCAACTGCCGTTATCTGCGAAATCCGAAAAACAGCGTGAACTTACTACTCATCTGCACATGACAACTAAGGCGCCTATCTTCCCAGCTGGCAATAGACGTAATAACCTAGCATCAGCAGTCCCAGGCTTATCAAGGCTTCAAGGCGAAAGTCCGACGCGAGAGCCTTCAAAAAAATCTCCCGCCAAATACATCGAGTTCCAATGTTTCCAAGCCCACGCCCACCACTCTCCCTCCTAGCCCCGACACGGTCTCCCAGCCCCTCTCCCCCAGCCCCTGCCCGGTTCGCCACCCACCGCCTATCCGGAGGGGCACGTCCAAGTCCAGCTGCTGGACGGGTGTGTCGGCCAGCTCGCCGGCCATGCTGCTGTAGTTGTTGCTGGACGACTGGACGGTGCCCTTCAGGTAGTGCGGGTTGTGCGTCTGCTCGTGCACGCGCGCCTCCCGGCTCTGTCGACGTCAGCGGGGTATGCGCGTCAGTCACGTCCCGCCCGGCACGACGCCTCCTGAGTGGCCCTTGCGGCAAGCTCAGGCCGGCCTCGTGGCCGATATGGAGCGTGCTGACAAAAACTACACGCCTCGACGACACTGCTTGCAGAAGACGGGCACAAACAAAGACCTCCTTTGAAATCGCATAGCACGGCGATCGTCCAAAACAAAAACACTGGCTAAACAGCCATTGTGAGCCAGTCCCGCGGGAAAGCCCGGGGTCCCGGCTCGACAAAGATGGGCGCCTCTGCCCGTCCACCGGCCGCCCCACCTTCTGCAGCTCCTCGGCGGTGGGCTGGTAGCGCCGCTCGGCGGCCGCCGGCCCGGCCGCTCGGCTCTCGGCCCGCACGAACACCTCGACACCGTAGTCGACGCCGGCGTCCGGCTCGTCGCCGGACTCGTCCGACGGCTCGTTGATCCACTCGTCCAGCCGCAGGCCCTCCGGCACCGGCACCTGGCGGAGGACGACGTCAGACGAGGTCAGGGGCCAGCTGAGGTCGTCTGACAGGCGGTCAGCCGACAGGGGGCGGGGGACAGCAACACACCGGCGGGAAGCGACGGGAGACACTGGCCATCTGTGACCTGGTTTACCTCCTCGGTCTGCAGAGGGATAAGAAGTGGCGTAATAAAGACGGCACTCGAAACGACCCCGTTCACATTTGAGGACGGATAGGGTACTGCCTGGTCTCTGACAAACAGCCCTGGGGCTAGCGTATGGCGGCAGACAACTCCATGGAAGCAAAATAGGCCGCCAAGGATGAAACTGTGGGCGCATTTTACCATGCAGAACATGAGCCCCGGTAGCACCATAGATCATCAACAACCAGCGGAGCCACTCACCATGTCGCTATCTCTGATTCTACCACCACGCAATATGCCTTAACACGGCTTGACATGGTGCGTGTGCTCGGCTCTGCCATACCACTTGGGAATGTGGCGCGGTGTCCGATGCCCGGCCCCACGCCCCGGGAGGCGCACCTTGCGCTGCGCCTTGGGCGCCACCGGGTTCAGCTCGCCGCTGAAGAGCTCCTGCAGCTCCTGGCCGAGCCGTTCGCCGCGCTGCTGCAGCTTCTGCACCGTCTTCATCAGCTGGAGCGCCGAGGTGGCGCGCTCCTGTACCTCCAGGTCCGCTGACGACGCGAACGCCGGCAGCGTCTCCACGATCAGCTCAGCCACCTGGCGGCCAGCAAGCGGCTCCAGTCGCGCTCACTGATACCGTCACAGCCAGTCACATTCAGTGACGGTCGGTCACGGTCAGCCACAGTCATTCACAGTCAGTCATAGCTCGTCACGGTCAGTCACGGTCAGTCACGGTCGGTCACGGTCAGCCACGGTTAGTCACAGTCAGTCAAGGTCAGTCACGGTCAGTCACAGTCAGTTATGGTCAGTCACGCTCGGTTACAGCCAGTCAGGTCAGTCATGGTCAGTCACAGTCAAACACGGTCAGTCACGGTCTGTCACCGTCAGTCACGGTCGGTCACAGTCAGTCACAGTCAGTTATGGTCAGTCACGTTCGGTTACAGCCAGTCAGGTCAGTTACGGTCAGTCACAGTCAAACACGGTCAGTCGTGGTCAGTCACGGTCAGTCACAGTCTCAACCCCGGCAACGGGTGCACGACGCCGGCGCCGAGGTCCTGTGGTGCCCCCATGGTCATCCACGAGCGTCCCCAGCGGGTGCACGACACCAACGCCGAGGTCGTGCAGTGCCTCCATGATCACCCACGAGCTTCCCCAGCGGCGGCACGCTTCGCTCCCAGTCACAGGCACGCCGAGTCACAGGACAGCAGTCCAGGCCCATCTGCCTCACAACCGATGCGGTGACTGAATCACAGTGACGCAGCTGCGTTGTCCGCAATACACATGCGGTTGACACATGTCAGCACGTCTGACGGAGACCACAAACACCCTGACACGAGTAACGAATCAACTTGGCCGACCCTCGCCACCACCTGGCTGTTTCACACAGCACATGACTGACTTACAATGACACACCAATGCTCAGTAGAACTCTGCAACGGCACACTGCTTGCTCCCTCCCTCGTGCACAATCAATCCAACCCACGGCGCGCCCCACCTCAGTCCAGCACCACGCCGCGGCGCCGCGTGCCGAGCCCCGCCGCGTGACCCACCTGGTTGACCTCCACCATGGCGCCGTCCACGTCCTCCGGCTGCTCGCTCTGTTCGGCGCGGCCCAGCATGCGACCGTACAGCTTCAGCACGTTCTGCACGTACACGGCCAGGATGTGGGGCGGCAGGCTGGCCGGGCGCGTGCGCAGCATCGACTCGACCGTGGAGCGGATGTTGGGCAGGTACTCGGAGAACTCTCCGCAGATCCAGGCGGCCGCGTACAGCACCTGCAGCGGGGGCGGCGGCGCCGGTCAGTGCCCGGTCGGTGCGGTGACGCTGCCGCTGCGGCTGCTGCTGCGGCTGCCGTCGTCTGCTGTCACAGGGTTACGGCCTGCGGGGGTCTTCGGGTCTGCTGCTGTTGCAGTATCAAGGCCTGCGGGGTCTACTGCTGCTACCGCTGCCGGGTCGATGGTCCGCAATGACCAGAACTGGGTGCGGGACGATGGGGCCCTTGTTGCGAGCAGCCATGGAAGATGGTGGTAGCCACGGGGAGGGAGGGGGCGTCGGGCTCGGAGGCGTGCCCAACAACGCGCCAAGCTTTAAGGCAACGGACCCAGGTTCGCATCCCCACAGCAGCGTGAACATTTCGCGGGCTCAAGGCGGCGGCCAGGGTCCGGCGTCACGACACCATTAGCCGTACAAGTTCGAACGTCCAACAACAAACCAACGGGCAGAGCTGGGCCGGACGGCGTCTGCTGATGGCGGGAGGTGCGGGAAGCGCCGACGACCAGCGAGTCACGTGTGCCGCTAATGAAGCCGCTGCACCCTGGCGCAATGCCCAAAAACACTCCCGCGGGCGACGCATCGCGACAACCGTCGGCTGTCTTGCCACCCGCATACCAAATACAATACACCCCGCGCAATTACACCCAGATACTGCTAAACGCATCGCCTCCAGCACCGCCGAGCCCACAAGTGTCTCCACGCTTCTAGCTCCTCCCTCCCCCCCCCCCCCACACCCAAGAGCGGCGCGGACGGTCACCTCCAGCATGGTGTTGCGGTGCGCGGCGGTGGCCAGCACGTGCGCGTTCTCCAGCAGCAGCGCCATCTGGGCCACGGCGAAGTGTCGGATGGCCTGCACGCGCACGGTGACGTCCATCATCTGCGCCGCCACCAGCGGGCCGTGCTGCGAGCCCTCGATCCGGGTCAGCTCCACCAGCACGCTCAGGTACCTGAAGGCCAACAGGAGCAAGAGGTGAGGCGGTGTCCGGTGTCTGGGGAGCACGACAATGCGCGACGCAACGGGTACAAATTCCGAAGGAGGGGGGGGGGGGGGGGCGCAGCCATCAGCGCCGACGGCTGTGAAGAACGCGTGGAAAATGAGCCTTCAGAGGCAAGAACGCCAGCCAGAGAGCCAATTCCAGGGCATAGTCATAACTCAACAGAACAGCTTATCAAGCACGCTATCCGACGAAGCGGCAATACTCTCACCGTCTCCTTGAATACCACACGTGACCGATGACGCAAAGGCACTAGCAGTACGCCATCGACACTCACCACTCGAAGTTGGTGACAAACTGGTAGTTGTTCTGACTGCAGATGAAGACAAGCTTGGAGAGCAGCTCATCGCGGTACGTGGTGCCCTCGGCGCGATCCATGTGCACCATCAGCTTCTTCACGATCTCCATCAGGTTCTTCTTGGACACCATGCCGTAGAGGAGGTCGAGCGCGCGCAGTCGGATCGACTCGTCCTTGTCGTCCAGGCACTGCATGATCAGGTCCTTGTGCACCGTTACTGACTTGGGGTGACTCTGCAAGATCTTGCCCATGGCCAGCAGGCCCAGGTACTTCAGGTTCTGGTCCGAGTCCTCGATCAGGATGCGCAGCTTCTGCACGCACAGCTGGATCGAGGCGTTGTGGCTGGGCATGCCGGACGAGATGGAGATGAGCACTGCCGGCAGCGGAGGTCGACAGCGGTCAGTGGGCGCCCGGCCGGACCGCGGACTGACGGCCAATCACGCTATAGAGCCGACGTCGCAGCCTTTGGTTTCAATCCTTCTGGGAGGAGACTTTAGCTCTGGTTAACAGGATCAGGCCAAGGTGAGAGTGAGCACCTGCGCACAGCTCAGGAAAATGTGAAATCGGATTAGCGTTTGTATACGAACACGCATGAGCACTACCTCTGACGCGTGCTTACACGGGCCCCACGGTGGAGGAAGCCCCCTTCCACACATCACGTCCAGCATGAGACGCTAACCCGAAAGGTAGGCTAAGCCTAATGCGAAGTACTCGCTTCGGGACACGGTTAAGACCACACCCCGTCTCAAACTCCCACAGTACAACGGGGAGCAGCCGTCGGGCACTGGGGCCTGCCTGGCGCACGGGCCCCCGGAACGACCTCGCGTCAGTACCGGGACAGGACCCGGGCTGGTGAGGGTACACCTGGAATCGGCCCGAGTTCGTGACAGGGTTTCGACAAAGAGCTGGGTTCGTGGCCGTGGCCAGTGTTCGTGACCAGGTCGCAACAAGGCCGTGCGCAGAAACAGTGGGTTCGTGGCAAGACCCCAGCCCCCTTGCTCGTAGGAGGGCTGCGATCCGCGCCCTTTTGAAGGGGGTGTTCCACATTTGTATGGGGCTTCGGACTGAAATAGCTATTTTGAAGATCATTCGGTGCATTTCACAGGCATGCCCGCCTCAAGCCCTAAACCCTTCTAGTTTCTAAGCCACACGCTCGCGAAGATGTGCAGACTATTTCGGGAGACCATTTCAAGGTCACCTAGGCATCCGTGACACCATAATATGTCATTCAAATCTTGCCATCCGATTAGCCAAGCCGCGATCAGGGCCAAGAAGGAAAAAATCGTCAAGTCGTTCATACCTGCCGTTCGTGAGCATGATTTCCAGATATAATGGTCGTCAGCTGGCTCTCAATTAATGTCGTGCAAGATGCAATGAAGTCATAAAACAATGACGTACTGAGGGACATATTTACCAGGGTAATTATGTTGTATACAGCATTTTTTCAGTTAAAAGCACACAAATTTTTATTAGGGGGCTTGTTTCACGATATCTGACGCTTGCTTCAATGTCTTCAAATGTGGAGTTAAAATATTCCCCTTAACGCAGCAGGCCCACCTGCGATCACGGTGTTGATGCACTCGTACAGCAGCGACATGGCCGACGTGCTGCAACAGAGCAGGCAGGGTCAGAGGGGTGGTGGGCGGTCCGGCGGCGCCGCCCCCACCTGGCGCCCCGACCGGGCCCCGCCCCGGCCGGCCGGCTCGGTGGCTGACCGGGCCCCGCCCCGACCGGCCGGCTCAGCAGCGCCGCCCCCACCCAGCGCCCTGACCGGGCCCCGCCCCGGCCGGCCGGCTCGGTGGCTGACAGGGCCCCGCCTTGCTTCTGCTCGCCGGAAGACGCACGAACAGAGGCAGCCACCGTCAGCCAAACTCCCGCCCCGCCACACCCGTCAGAGCACCCGACTGACGAACGCACCGTCCGCTAGGTGGGCAACAGCCCGCGTGCATGGCGAACACCGGCCAACGTGCATGACATGCCGGCGGACCGTTCACTGTGCACAAGCCTGTTGCGCAGGTCAATTTCCGTGTGCATAGCTGTTAACGGACTTATTACACGCGGTCGAAGTGGCGCACCTGGCACGCGATCTGTTTAAGTCTGGTAAGTACGAGACTGGGGCACATCCACAACCCCTCCGCACACACGGCGCACCAGACGCGCAGCAGCTGGGCCGGGCACAGGTCTGGTGCATGACCAGCCGGCGCACGGGGCTGTCATGTGGCCCGCTCGTGGTCAGGCTCGGTGCGGCGCGCTCACCTGTGGATGAGGTTGGTGAGCGGCTCGATCAGCTTCTTGCCCAGCCGCGGCTCCAGCGTCGTCAGCGCGCCGAACTGCGGGCAAACGGACGGGTCAGACCGGCGGCCCCACCCGTCGGCGGCTGGTGAGCGGCAGGCCCGCGTCGGCCCCCGAGGTGTCTCACTGCCCCACTGCCACTGCTCGCTCACTCCCGCTGCTGGACTGTTCCGATGAGATAGTTATAGATTAGATATAGATACTATATACTCAACTATATATAGATATGTAGTTCAGACAGATAAGCTGTTGATGGGTATAAGATTTTGCCACATCGTGGCACCACTTTGTTGCTCGCACAGCACCGTGCCAAAATGCGACCGGAATTGTTTTCCTTGTCATCAAAAACATCCCTCGCGCATCTTGACTGATACATGACAAGAACTGCTCAGAGTGTAATAACTGAAGCGCTGTCAGTGTAATCATCGACTGAAGAAAAGTGGGGTAGGCAGGGCTAGAAAAACGTGAGCAGTGGCAAGAACTGCAATATGAAGGATCCCTCCATTCTCAATGGGTTTCAACTATCTGCTAAACATGGCGGTGACACAACTCGTGTAGTACGGTGCAGCCCACACATCTCAAAGCCACAGTTCACCTGTCTCAGTGCACACCTGATACGAACGTGAAGCATTCACTTGAAATTGGGTTTGCATATGTGTGTGTGTGCGCGCGTTATTGTATGCATGACACAATGTGCTGGAACATGCTGATCGTAAGATTATTCATCGCTGCTTTCTGTTTCTTCCGGCGGATTTCTTTAGGCGCTTACCAGCTTAATGATCTTGATAAGCATCCAGTTGTTGGTGGATGACGTCATCAGCTTGAAGAACACGGGAGCCAGGCCCAGGTAGTTCTGCGGGTTCTTTCTGGCCAGCTCACAGATGACATTGACGGCCGCGCTCTGGACGCCTGCGGAGCGGCGAGGCCGTCAGCCACTGCACGCGTCCACCGCACGCACAAGCTGATCGGCGACACATCTGCCGATAACCGGATCATGCCACACACACTAAAGACACCCGGCGGCGGCCGAGCATGTTCAACATGGTGATAATGTCGCTCGTGTCTTATAACATGACTACGCCTGAATCCCACGGCAGGAAAGGAGCCTCAACATCCGCAGATCGTCACTGCTGCGAACCGCCGATGCTCCGGCACGACCAAACGCCAGGCGCAGCATCGCGCGACGCCCTCACCCGGGTCCGGGTCATCCAGCTTGTCCTTGAGTCGAGGGAAGGCGGGACGCAGCGCCTCGGGGAACTTGAGGAAAATCTTGTACATGAGCAGCACCGCTTTCTTCCGCAGGTACGGTTTGGTAGAAGAGAGCTGTGTGCACAGCAACGGGCCAGATCAGGTCACGTCAGGTCAAGTCAGGTGCCCAGGTCAAGCCAGGTCAAGCCAGGTCAGACCAGGTCGGGTCCGCGGCTCAAGCACATACCAAAGGCGCGACACAGGCGGGAGTCGTGCAATACCTGTGTGGCCGTCAGCCGGGCGGCCGGGAAGCCCCTGAATGCGTTGACAATCGTTCCCAGCAAACAGAAGCAGAGCTCAGTGGCGCCCCGTAACGCACGGATTACCAACAGGTGGGTGCCAGACCGCGCACCACCCAGCCGCCCCCCCCCCCACCCCTCTCCCCCCCACCCCCACAGCATCGCGGAGATGACCACAAGCGTAACCGCAGATCGCCGCCGGAGCTCGCGGCTCCACCGCCGTCCGCCTGTGACGCCGACGGGCCTCCCCACGACAGGACCCCTCACCCCCCCCCCCCCCCCGCTCAGACCCGGCGCGGCTCTGACCAGGGTCATGACGTCGTTGGCGAGGTCGCGCGCCAGGTCGGTGGAGATGAAGCACGAGAGGCTGGTGAGCGCCACGGCCGAGTCGTACTGGGTCTGGCTGTTCAGGTCCTTACGGATCATGTTGGTGGTGAGCATCAGCACCTGGCGGACGTCGCGTGACGCGTGAGGCGTGAGACGGCCGGCCGCCGGAGCCGGCGCTGTCGCACGGCGCCGGTTCACCCCGGACGCGGCCACACCGGTCGGGCACCACAACAGGCACCGCGGCGTGCCCCGACGGGCCTGAACGCGCCCAGAAGAGCACGGCGTCTGTGAAGCTGCAGCACATCCCGCTCTCACAGGGCCCACGCAGGCGCACAGAGCACGACGGGCCCTTACTGCTGCGCCCTGGCAATAACCGGGCGGTCGACGCCCGGTGGTGCTCACCAACGCTCTGAACGACACGCAACCAGCGACACCGGCCGCACAGCTGCAAACCTCGTGACCATGACCACTCCGGAGCGGCCGGCCACTCACCTCCGTGTCCGGATGGAACGACTGCGAGGCGGCCAAGTAGCCAATGCGCTTATAGGTGAACTTGGGCGAGCTCATCACCTCCACGATGTTGAAGCTCGCCCAGCTGATGTCGTAGCCCAGCATCTGGATCTGAGGGCGGCGGCGACAGCGTCAGCACGTCCACACTGCAGGGGTGCATCAATGTACTAACCAGAGCTGTTGACTACGCCGTACGCATCGTCTAGACAGAGAATGATGTGGCGTGGTAACTGGCGCTAAATCAAATACCCTGCCCCTCCCCCTTAGTGCACACCGCACGTGGCCGTCGCGGCCACAAGTGGCGTGAATCCACCGACCTTGCAACGGAGAAAGCTTTAAACTCGGCCAGTAGAGTGCTAGAGATCACCACCTCTAGACGACAAGTCCGCCACCGCGCCTCTGAGTGGCGGCACCCCCTACTGAGGGACGGCGGCGCCACTCCCCCAGCCGGACAGTCGGTCGCGAGAGAGCACGCCGACGCCATCTAGCAGCCTCCAGCTGGCAGTGAGAGCCGGACTGGCGGAACGGACACCAGTGCCCTCCGATGCCAGCCGCCGCCGACCCACGGCGCCGGCCGCCGTCGTGTTGGGACACAGCTACACCAGCGCCCTCCGGCGCCGCAGCCGATCCACGGCACCCGCCGCTGTCGTGACGGGACACAACTACACCAGCGTTCTCCAGCGCCGGCCGTAGCCGACCCACGGCGCCGGCTGCTGTCGTGTCGGGACACAGCTACACCAGCGCCCTCCAGCGCCGGCCGCAGCCGACCCACAGCGCTGGCTGCTGTCGTGCCGGGACACGGCTACACCAGCGCCCTCCAGCGCCGGCCGCAGCCGACCCACAGCGCCGGCCGCTGTCGTGTCGGGACACAGCTACACCAGCGCTCTCCTGCTCCGCAGCCGACCCAAGGCGCCCGCCGCTGTCCTGTCGGGACACGGCTGCCGTCGAAGCCACTCACGTAGGTCAACTTCTGGACGGCGTTGACCTTGACGGCGATGTTGTCCTGCCGCAGCTCTTGCTTGATCTCCTCGATGCATTGCGCAATGTACTTGGCCTGCGGGAGCAGCGGCGAGTGAGGTCACCGGACGGGGTGACGGCCCCGTCACATCGCCAAGGCTCGACGGTGGGACCGATCACAGATGTCGCACAGATGACGTGTGAGATGAAACATGCTCACAGGAATATAGTGAGGCTGCCAACGTGAGACGAAAATGACAACAAAGCTTCCGGCAGCAGTTCCGAGTTCGCCAAAAACGACCCGTGCGTCGCAAAAGCCTCACTAAAAATGTTCCCCATCAGTTGATTGGGTGTCTTTTTGTTGATGGCCACCTCAGGAATTTCACACGTTCTTATTCTACTATATAAAGGTACATAATATATATATATATATATATATATATGTATATACACATAATTTTGGCGGGTGTTTTACAGATATCAAAGTCGAACCACATAAACAGGAATTTCCGGGAGACAGGCCCATATGTCAATCACCCAATGGGCAGATGTTTGGTGTGAAAGGAAACTGAAGAAAAAAAAACACAACTAACGGTTCTGGCGACGTGGAGATAACCCAAACATAAAACGGGACGACGCTCACATCAAGCACGGTCACGAGCGAAGGACAGGCGATACAAGATGCACCGCGGAGGTGATTGAAGGAGTGTTCCACATTTGTGTGGGGGTCTGAACTGAAATGGCCATCTTGGAGATCATTCGGTGCAATTCACAGTCCTGCCCTTATTGAGACTTAAAGCCCTCTAGTTCCTGAAATACACGCCCGCGAAGATGGGCATACTTTTTCAGGGAGGATATTTTGAGGTCACTCAAGCGTACATGACTACATTACGACGTTATCTAAATCCTTATATTTCATTAGCCGAGCAGCGACAAGGCCAACAAAAGTATAATTGTCGAGTCGTTCCTATCTGGCGTTCGTGAGCAGAATTTCCGGATACATCGGCCGTTAATTGACTCAATTAATAGTGTGCAAGGTGCAGTAGGGCAACCAAACAATGACCTATTGAGCAGCACATTTACGAAAGAGAAATTGTGTTGTCCAGAGTCGCCTTCCACCTTTAAAAGTACAACAATGGTTATAAGGGAGCTTATTTCATCATATTTGACGCCTGCTTCAATGTGCTCCAATAGAGCATTACCTTCCACAGCTAGCTTGGACTCAATTGACCGCGAACAAACACACCGCCGCTCTGCTCCATAGCTGTATCGATTCGGCTGCAAGATCTATCCCATTCTAACGCTCTCGTCCCTGGAGTAAGCTCTGCTCTCGGCGGTCAACAGCCCACTCGAGTGACGTCACACGATCGACACCGCCCACAGACGGGAGCCCTCGGGAGTTGGAGCCGGAGCCGGAGCCGGAGCCGGAGCCGGAGCCGGGGCCGGGGCCGGGGCCGGGGCCGGGGCCGGGGCCGGGGCCGGGGCCGGGGCCGGAGCCGGAGCCGGAGCCGGAGCCGGAGCCGGAGCCGGAGCCGGAGCCGGAGCCGGAGCCGGAGCCGGAGCCGGGCCGGGGGCTGGCCGAGTCCCCCCCCCCTCAAACCCGTCGCATCTACCGTTGGCCCAGGGAGCAGCCCATCCCCTCCCGGGGCCCTCAGGCGGCGGGCACGTGCCGCTCTGTACACTGGGGACATCGGACGGCCACTCGAGGACACGCGGTTACAATAACAGCGACGGGGACGCGCTAACGTAAACAGGGCGCGCCGGGCGGGGCAGCTCGACCGGCCGGCCGGCCCGCGCCGTCGCCGTTTGGGGATCGCTCGACGGAGACTGTAGGAGCCTGTCCCGCCCACGATGGGGCCATAACGGATAACGGTCGGGCCCGTCCCGATACGGGCCCCCGTACGGCCGAGCCGGAGCGCGGTACAACACGGGAGTTAGCGGTATCTGATATGGGGCGGGGCCGGCGGCGGACCGGCCCGTCGTCAAAACGACGCTGCAAACACTGTTGGACCACAAGTGTCCGAGTTTCGGCCGGTGTCGTGAAACGTATGATCAAAATGGATCTCTCCAAAAGGATTGTTAGAGGAACAGCTTCGTGCCGCCCATCTTTTCCTTCCGAAATCCGCGCCCTCCATCCTTTCGAGTAGTCTGTGGCCCACTGCCGTGAGCATTACACCGGCTCTTCCTTCGTCCAGCACTCCAAAACACAAAACCGTCTATCGATACTACGCACCATTCCGGTGCAGTGCTTGAGCCACACATCTCACAAATGCCTGCGAAAGGTACATGAGTGACGCATCTTGCACATGCCTGCGAAAGGTACAGTCAGTTCGCGCAGTTTGCTTCTCCGCGTCCAATGGTCCACCTCGCGCGCCGTGTGCAGCGGCGCGGCCACGTACCTCGTTGTCCTTGTTGTTGCGGATACCGCGTACCAGGTCGGTGAGGTTCTTGTCGAAGAGCCGCTCGATATTCCCCCGGATGTTGCGCAGCGCCACGTCCATGATGAGGGGCGAGCCGAGCCGTCGAGTCAGGTCAGGTCAGGTCGGGCCAGGCCAGGTCAGATCAGGCGGGCAGGCGCCGAACGGCCACCTGGGGATGCAGGCTGGTCAGCTCAGGCCCGAAGTCAAGTTCAGTAGGCGGCCATTGGGCGGGAACATGACGCGAGTGAGACGGTTGGAATCAGTCAGCTCAAGCCCACAGACTGACACCGGTCGATACATAACATTAGCCCCACGGGTGATGGGGTGGGGAAGGGGGAGGTTCGGAGTCAGGTCTGCACAGAACTCGGGGCCTGTGCGCACGCGGGACGGCGGCCACGAGGTTTTGGGGGTAAGGCCTCGTCAGCTTCGTACGAGCCCTGTCCGAGGTTTTAGGGGTGAACGCCTCGTCAGCTTCGTACGAGCCTTGTCGGTCAATGCGTAACTAAACGTGGGTTGCGAAAGCTCATGCAATGCTGTTCTATGGTAGGTCAGGTCGGGTCAGGCTCGGACAGAACCACACATTAGAGCAATCAGCAGTGTTAAGTCAGACACCCACCAAAGGCATATAGCAAGGGGCCTGGGGGGTTGCCCTACGTTTGAAGGTCTTAATTAAAGACGGGGGGGGGGGGGGGGGTCCGCTCCTGTGTGGTTCCAGTGAGGACAGACCATCACACTGCTCGCAGCAAACGAGACGCGAGCGGCAGAAAATAGTACGCAAGCGAGGCGGCATTTCGTTTGCAATGCCTGTCGCATTTATCGCGATAGATAACCTAACATATGAGTGCTCTCAAGCTTCAGATCAAATTTCCTGTCCGTAGTGACCTTCGGCGATTCTTTTGGCGCTTGGTAAACTCCTGGCTGCTGCGATTCCGTTCCATATGCGTCGGTGCCCGACGCAGTTCGCGACAAACCGACACTAAACATTATCAAGGATTGCATCGCAAACGTGCCGTGACGGTCTGTAGCCTGCAACTACCGGCGCGACACAACCAACTCCGTGGATTTGGAAGGCCCTTCAACATCCATGGAGGCACGAGAAGCACCGCTTCAATGGGGGCGGGGGATGGGTGAAGCTGCCTTGAAGGAGCCAAGTCTCTACGGCGTGGATCCTTACCACAGCAACCTGATGACCCCACCCCTTTTCCAAGAAACTACAATCACGGACGTCGAAAACACATCTCCATTGGCATGATCACGGGGGTGGATACAGCCACACAATCAGACTATTTCCCGCCCCGCGCAGGCAAATCGCCAGCTCTCGCTCAGGTGCGGGAGCCGCGGTGCACTATCCCCAACACTCCGTCGTCAAACGAATCGGACCGCGCACGTATTTAGCACCCAATACAGCATGCACGATCGAATGACTGACCGGTCTACGGGTGAATAATTCCCAGGCTCGGACAAGCTAACTCCGACCTCCTACACACGGCCATGGCGTGCCCTTTCTTCATACGTGCCCACTGCATCAGATAAAGACGCGGCAGACAGGACAAAAGCCGCTGTTACGGCCCACAGCCTCAAGGTCAGTTGACAGTGGAACCCTAATCTGTCCAATGTCTACAGTATTTCCCGCGCCACACTGCAATCCGCAGCGCGCTGCAGTTTGCAGTCTGAGTCAGCCTGAAAGTCGCCGGGCACGCCCTGACGCCCAGTCCACACGACTCCCGACAGGGCCTGTCGATGGCGCAGTCACATCGCGTCACGCCTCTGGACTACACACGACGACATTTTCCGGACGTCCGCCGCCCGACAGCCACCAGCACGGCCCTGTCGAGGCCATGAGAAAGTCGGAGCCCGCTCCCACGAGCCGAGCGTCAACACGGCACGAGCCGGCGCCGGCCCGAGCCGCCGTGTCCCGGGGATGGGAGGCAATGTCGTGACTGTACCGACAGGTCGTCGCTCGACGCTCCACACCGCTGCACGGGACCGCCCGCGGCAGCGGCCTGTGTCCGGCGTCCGGCGTCCAGCGCCCGGTGTCGGTCGGGCGCGCCGTAACAGGACGCCAGCGCACGGCGGGGCCGGCGCGCCGCGGGGTGCGGTTACCCGGCGGCGCGCGCGGATGCGCCGCATCGGCGACGTCGGGGCGAGCGCGGCCCAGGCCGGCGGTGGGACGCCGCAGGGGACGGAGAGCAAGCAGGCTGCAGATGACGCAGCGTTCGACACCAAACAAGACAAAAGGTTGTGAATGTGCCGTCAGTTGACACCGAAACGTTTTGTTGTTCATAGATTTCATGGATGAGGAAAAGCCAAACCCTACAGAGCCATGTTTTTATTTGAGCTTTCTCAATGAGACATTCAGTGCTTGAGGCAAAATTTGCCAGACTCAATCCTAGGGTAAGGCCTTTCTCTCCGCCCCTCCGCCCCCCCCCCCCCCCCGCACCACCACCACCACCAACCAAGCTGTATTTGCAGTGAAGTGCACCATCACATTAAGCTTCAGTCGAAATTGGGGACAGACACATAACAAAGGCAGCCAGTGTTTATGAGCTTCAAGACAAGTTCAAGATTCGCTGAGTTTTGTCAAACTAAGCCACTGGCTTTGAGGCGATAAGTGGCGAAAAACCCAGGTGGTGGTGGAGGAGTTGATGAAAGCCATAGCACTCACAGCTTAGCACACATCTACACATACTCTTGTGTGTGCTTGTTTGTCATGCAGCGCCATCGTCCGACGATGATGGGTGCAACATCACAGCAAGCCATAATGCACACACCCATGTTGAGTGCAGCAGAGCAGCAGTGACAGTGGTGGTCCATGCACCAGCTGTGGTCCTACAGACTGAGTTGATCAGACTGAGTTGCACTCTCAGAGGCAGACTTCTGGTCCAGATCAGAAATCTGTTTATTTCTTAAAATCTAGCTGAATGCTTACTGATGAGATTTTACCTACAAATTATCATGAGCCAATTATTTACCACACCTGGATATGCTATCACTGTTGCAAGCGGACCTCAAGGGCAAGGTAGATGTGTTTGTTCCCTCACAGAGGTGGAGCTGTATTATGCCCTTGATTAAACAGAAGCACAGCCAACATTTTACCTGCTATTGACTGATCTTTCAATAACATCTCCTTGAAACATGGACCCTTTCTCATCATACATTTTTCTCCCTGTAAACAAGACTTGACAAACTGTTGTGAAATGACCTACTGACTTGAACAAAGCTGTGCAAGGTCATAGGGCTACATACTAAGACCACAAATAATAAGAAATTGGCCAAAGACTTGCATTGTATTGCATAGTTATGGTGGGATGTGGAACATAAGAGCTCTGTATGATTCATTGAGTGCTGAAAACCACTTTACCCCAAAATGTCCTGCTGTTGGCTCACATTTCATCATGTTTGGTCTTTTCGTTCCACAATAAGATGAAAACTAACATAAACAGCAGCTTAAAGGCAGAAAATTATATTAATACACACTCAACATGATGCTGTGAAGTGAGAGTTTAGCAAAGAAACAACCTTTTTACAGCTGAAGCAAGAACAACACCTTCAAATATTCAATGATTCCACACTTCCTCAAATAAGTCATAGTTGTTTTGAAAGTGCACAACATAAAATTCAATAAAATACATATAATGTGTACCTTGTTCAGTGGAACACTTCATAGTTATTGATTACATAACTTAAATTTACATTGGGAAATCCAATTATTTTGTAATATAGGGGATTATCTGGAAAATGTCACACATTACATGGGACTGCACATCCAAATTGCTCCTCATTTTAAATCACAAACAAAAAAAATACTTCTCATGACATGTTGATCTTATGACATGACATTGAGCTTAATGATTTCTTTATCTTATCAACACATTTAACACATAGCTGAATGATGTTCAATGATCTATTATGACAAGCTGTTGAGCCTCTGGTCTGAAGCAGGAAAGCTTATACAGATAACACTTCTACAACCTTGATGTTTTGCTCCCTGGTGGCCAATCATCTTCACCACTGGAATAGATTGTATTTATGTTGTTTGACATTTCTCTCTTGATTTCATGAGCCCCTGTGTTTTGGCTGGTTTATTAACTGACCCACCCAGTCCAACAGATGTCCCAGCATTTACACAGCTTGTGTCAGAAAAGTTAATACCACTCACACACCTGGTCCCAAGGCTGCAAATCACAATAATCATATGGTGCCTGCTTGCAGCTGGTGAACAATCCAAAGCATGTGGATGTCCTGTCTCATGCAGTCAAAAATATTCCTAAGATGAAAAACAGAAATGGCACCAAGTAACAAATACCAAAATGCAAAGCATGCAAAGGTATGTATTGCTCCATTTGTAATATGCTATATATCAGGTAAGGTAAAACAATGCAACCCACCATTCAAAGTAAGAACATTTGATCACAAATTGAAAATGTAGATTTTAGAATAGTCTTAAGTATCTCATATGAAGAAGAGCCTTAATGTAATGTGTGCAACAAACCTGATCTGGCAAGTTCTTGCCTCATAAGCATTATAAGATTATTATGCACACCTAAGCACAATGCCTCTTGCATACTGAAACCACTCCAAACAAATGACCAGTGATTGTCTAATACAAAGTGTGTCATGCTAAGGTAAGGGTAGGCTTTATATTGATATTCATTTTCTTTTTCAATGGTACTACATTATTATGGCAGACATCCAACACTACAAAGTGCATTTAGCAATACTTTGTCAGGAGTGCAGCAGAACACAGTTTCTGTGACTGTGTGCACTGTGCAGTGCTTTAACTGTGTTGCCTATAGAAATATGCTCTTTTTACCATTATCCAATATATATAAAAGACAGTGCTAATGTTCTTATTCCTCATAGAATAGCCAGCAGAACTGAGAGATAGATGGACTGATATTTTGGCCATATGACTTTTATGAAACTAATATCAGTTGTTTGCCATTTGCTTTTTAAATGGTTATCAATAAATCTATTTTCACACTACCTTATGGTGATATGCATCCAACACTGCAATCTGCATTTTATGATATGTGTCTGGGGTGCAATGGGGCAGAGTGTCTGTGACTGAAATGCACCAATATTTCTTTTTATAAAAACAAATAGCCAAGATATTCACCCATCTATCTCTTGATTCTCCCAGTTATTATACAATGAAATGGGCTATTACTGCAACCATATTGGATCATAAGTTGAATATAATTAACTTAAAAAGCTGTACACAGCAGGTGACATTGCTTAGAATTTTTTAGTATGACCATCATCCAATAACATAAAAGGTGAATTGTTCATAATAATGGCATTATATGTGCTTTGGTCAATCTAAACTAAGCAATGGGAAAACAGACATGTTCATTAATACCAAATGTGTACCAGTTGAGCAACATTACATTGAGATATCATGAAGTCTCTGATGCTGTGAGCATCTCTGCTATGTTCCTACAAACTTATTTGCTGTTCACCACATGGCAATCTTTGGTTGACATGAGCAGCATATGAATATAATGATAATCATAATGATAATGATTCCACAATATTCACATTCTAAGCACAATGCTATTAGGCAGGTGTACTGCTTTGGCACCTATAACCACCCCAAGCAGCCAAAAAAGTGCCACAGCTTAAAATGAGCAACACAAGCCCCGGTGAGGTCCCAGAGGATTGATGGAATTGGGTGAGGGTGATTATCAACTGGGGTGGAACACTAATTAAGTGAATTTCTCTGCAATGATATCCATAAGCTGCATGTTCGCATTCTGAAACACTTTAAATCGTAAAGAAACCTACAGAAGTTCAGAGACCCCCAGTCATGTACGATACACTGAAGGAAAACAACGACCATCAACAAGGGATCCGGCGTTTCGTTGTCACGATGTGCTTTGCCACATCGTGCTTATCAATTTCATTCACGCAATGCTACCCATTTAATCTTACCTGCTAAACAAACGCTATCAAGGTGGAAGTAATAATCTTCCCCGAATCAAAAAGTAAAAATAACAGAGCAGTGTCTCACAGAAATTAACCCACATACGGTACGAAAATCGCCGTCCCAGCGTATGCGTGTGTGTGGCCTGCGTCACTTTCGCACTATTAAACCTAGTGACGCTTAGCTATTTTCGTATGATATTCATAGCAGTTCAACATGATAAAATTAGCGAAGTAATTTAATCAATCTCACCGAATGAACCAACCTAACAGCAGCCCTCTAAGTATTTCAAAATTACCAGAAACAAACTTTTACGCTGCACTAGCCAGCTGTTAGTTTCATCTACATAAATAGCGGTATGGATACAAATGCGCAGCCCGTCTACTGCGCAGGGTTGAATGATAAAACGAATCCAGCAAACACGGCGGAACATATAGATCTAAGGGCGCAGCACAGACATTGGGCGTGGGCACGGTTGCCGGCCGAGTTGTTTCGGGTGGCTGTAGGGTTGCCTCTTGGGCTGCATTCCACCGAGTTAAGAGTCCAATTAAAAGCCCATTATCAGCGAACGCGGACATCGTAGGCGAGTACCAAGTAGGTGCACGTACCGTCAAGGATGAGGAGTCATTACACCCCCCCCCCCCTCTTTAGTTTCGGTGTGAGCCCAAGGACATATCCAGAAACTGATACCAGTATGTGATGCCTCTTTTTTGTTTGCTTGTTAGCTACATGAAACATGATTATTGAATGAGATGGTAGTAATAGCCTTTTGCATGAAGAAAAACCAGGAGAATGAACATATAGATGTTGATAGTTTGGCAATACATGTTGATTGAAACAAATAGCAGTAAAAGAAAAAGCAAACTTCTGCTGAAGGCATGTTGCTGAGTTGCTACTACATTTGTCTTCATTCTCTTTGTATGTATTCAAGGAATTAGGCTATTACCACTTATCTATGTGAATAATGTTGCTCGTGAGTGCATTTGGAAACTTATGTGAATATCACTGTTGTATCAAAAAACTATTGTTGAGCACCCAAGGTGATGCGGGCCAAGCATCACCATCTATGACTGGACCATGTAATGACTTGTTGACCTTACTGGTCATACCTTATTGCTGATGGCTTGCATCACTAAAAGCCGTTAACTCCCCGCCCCATTTCTGTTATATTCAAAATGGTGGGCATACTCTAGTCACACTAAAAAAAATATTTTGTTGAACACTTCTGGCATAGCAGCAACATCATTGCAACAATTTGGGAGCATACACAGCTGAAGTCCAAAAGTTTGAGTCTGGTTCATTGCAACCATCAATTTAAGAATATATGAAGTCTATGTTTTCAAGGAAGTGTGATGCTGCTAAGTTTATTTCAAACAAAACATCTTCCCAGATTTTTTCAAACAAAAATTATATGAAAATTAAATGTGAATTGGCCTTGCCTGACTTTGCTGCACATGTGCTGCGGGTTCAGATTTATAACAGCATGTGAGCATGTTTTGCAGACTGGTACTCTGACTGGCAGACCAGTCTGAGTCTCATGAGTGTGTGCCATTTTTTGTTGACACTGCCACCAGCAAATATTTTCTTCTTCCACTTAAAATTTTCATTCACATTTTCTAGTGGTGCAACTTGCCATTAGCTCATGCAAAATGCAGGTTTGTCATTTTCTCACAACATTGAAACTGTATCTGCTTAATTTGAACCATGTTCATACCTGTAACATCAGTCTTGAGTCTTAAATGTTTTTGGTTTCTCTTTTGATATCTCTGGTTTAAAATTGTTTGAAAGCAGCTGTATGAAACAACATCCAGAAATTGCATGTGATCTTCCTTTAAAATGGGTTTAAGATGGGGAGACATTGAGGATTTTAACACTGAATAATGCTTCAGTTTGTGTAGAATTGAGTGGCTGAAACATACTGATGTTTTGTTAAGTGCTATGTTTTGATTAACCATTCATGTGACTTTAACACATTAAGTATAAAAGGAAAGGTGACTGGACATCAACACATCAATCATAAACTGTGCTTGGCAAACAAGCAATATAATTTGGGCAATGATGATGCTACATAGTGATGGCTTCAGGATACTTCAAGTAGACCATGTATGCTTGCCATTAGCCTAGAAGTTCTAGCATGTTCATTCACTCAGCACCAACCAGTTGCACAAAAGATGACATAGATCTTTTCATCTTTGTCAGCTGCCTGTGCTATAGTAAGATAGTGTGCAAACACAGATGCCTGACTGCATGATGCTGTCATGAAGCAAAAAGGACACTGATGTCTTTGGCACAAGCTGCTGTTGTATGCTAACTTTGGTATAAGCTGCTGTTCCTTAACTTTTAAACTAAATATTGATGACATAGAAATGAAAAGTGTGAGTCAGTTCTGTGATATGTGTGCGGTTAATTCAAAGAGGACAGGGCATGTGAGTGCTCATAATTTGGTCCAAGTCATTTGCAAGCCCAGATTAACGTCTCAAGACCAGCTCATGGCATCTGCACCTTTGTGGGGTCAATGGGCTACAAAAGGGTGAATATTGCACTGACCTATGTCCCAATGATATATATATATATATATATATATATATATATATATATATATATATATATCTTGTGTGTGAGTGTGTGTGTATATATGCCCTGCATGATAAAAGCATGACTTTCCAAAAAATCAATGGCATTCACAATCTTGGAAACTCATGGTTTTTCCTCAGATAACTGAAACTGTGGCCTTGATTACCTTGTCTCTTGACATGAACTGACATCTTGTCAGGCTCACTACCCTTAGGTAAGCATTTGACAAAAAGTCACAGGTCAGTAATATTCATTGAGCACTAATTCATACATCCTTATAATGTGCTTCAAACATCAAAATTATTACCAGCATCATTCACCAAAATTATTTGTTAAAGCCCAAGAGCTCCCTGTTCCCTAGAGCATAGTTGACGAGTGGGCGTTACGCATAACTCGCGCTCACCGTCACAGGCTCCGTAATCGATTATATCTGTAGATCAGATCTGTGACCTATCGAAAAACAACCATGGGCGTCACATTTTGATGCTGTATATACGTGCCGAAGCTGCTGGGACGCAGTGTCGTAACCACGAAAAAAGTTTCCGATTCGTTTAATTATTTGCACATATTGGAGCTTTTCTCAAGCTCTTCAGCGCTTCCTGAATGGCGGTTGAATCAGGTTCAGGTTTGATTGTGCTAGGATCGTGTCGGCTGGAGCCTATGTCTGAGGCGATTCATGCAAGGTGACTTGTAACTCATGCGACTCTTCTGCCGCCACTTTCGCTCTGTTTGGGCAGTATTCCGGGTGCCTATGTCCATCTCAATCGACAAGCTGGACATAGAGGAGAGTTATTTTAAGTATGCGGTTGCTCCGGTTTTACAGATGAGGTCAACGAAGGTGATTCATCGCTGCGCAATAATTTTGATTTATGCCGCTTAAATGAGCGCAATCAGCATATCCGGTGCTGCAACATGGTATCTTAGATAAGACAATAGTATTATTAGTCTTATTCCTAGGAGAAAAAAAACAAGAGGATGGAGATGTAGTTGGGTTGATATTTCGGTAACATGCCTTTATCAAAACAATAGCAGAAGTGAATTTCATTCTATTCCATTCCATTCTCCTGTTTTTTTTTATCCGAGGGATAGGGCTAATACTACTGTCTTATGTATGTGAATGATGTTCCTCGCTAATGCACTGAACAACTTACGTTAACATGGTATCGTCGTGAACTGCCAGTACGAACTGGAAACTGCCAGTTCACGGCGACACAGCTTGCGGGTTCACTGTGTTAACGGCGGTTAATTACTCGCATTTACATCGGACATTTACACACATTTACACCGAATTATCAGCCTCGAGCAGTTGGGGGGGGGGGGGGGGGGGGGGGTACTCGCTACTCGCTACAGCTGCTACTCGCGATGCAGGGTCTTCTGCAGTCCTCTTTTGCTGCGACACTAGTTGCGGAGACATTTCTCCCACTTTTAGATAGTATTACGCGGGGCTGTTGTTTCTTGTGACTGTTTATGTAAAAACATGCAAGCGATGTTTTGACCCAAAATATGTCATTGGCTCTTGTTTTGTTATTGCATAACGGGCACTCGTAAAACATAGACGTCTCTATATTCCGGAGCCCCAGCAACTTGCAGCCTTTTATACATGGTGACCCGTCGTTGCTCTGTTTCAGGACAATGTTGCTCCAAAAGCTGTTTGATCACATCAGTGCTGATGACGTGGAAGCAGCCAAGGAGCAGCTCTCCAGTGGTTCAGTTAAGGTCAATGACTGCGATGATCACGGCATGACAGCCCTGCAGCACGCCAGCTACAAAGGACGGCACAAGATCTGCCAGATGCTGTTGGATCAGGTACTGGATGGTTACTGGGTGGAATGCTACGCAGGTTTGAGTTCTTGGGTGCAGGGGTGCTGTTGGGGAGCCCGCAACGGGTGGTAAATCCGTTTGCAGTTATGTTTACGGGTAGACTTACGCTGTAGGGTTGAGTATTACCATGTTATGCCGTGATTCCAGATTTAGGCATGCAACGTGCGTTCTCGTCGCTCATGTAGTTCTCTGCAATGCGTTTCATGCAGGTTTAGCTCATTGCACTTCTCATATTTCCGTATACCTGTCTGACCTTTGTCTCTTCGTTGTTCTTCGCATGGTGCTCTGGATATCGTAAGGCTCGAACCCTTGATTTCCCTACATTCCCTTCCAATCCTTTCCAAGAGCTGTCCACGACCGCAGTGTCTGCACAGTCGCTCTTACACGAGCGAGGCGTCCAATGCCACCGGGTGCACGTGTGCACACGCGTGTGGTGGGCGGTGCGCAGTGTTCACGTGTGCGGTGCGCGCGCAGGGTGCGGACGTGGACTGGGACGGCCACGAGCACGGCTACACGGCGCTCCACTTCGCCGCCCTCTCCGGCAGCGAGCCGACCGTTCGCGCGCTGCTGGCGGCCGGCGCGCGTACCGACCGCACCAACTCGGTCAAGCGCACTCCCGCCCAGATGGCTGCGTTCGTCGGTACGTGACGCGGCGACAGATCCAGCTCCTGAACTGGAACATGCAGTGTCCTGCTGGACTATGCCAAAAGGGAATGCATAAATCAGGGAAAA